GAATATTGGAGAGTATTACGCGAGATTTTTTCATTTTCTTGTTGGAAAATATATTTATTTTATGATGTGGGGTGATATCTAGAGTTTGAGGCTTGCGAAAATAAGATATACTCATCTTTATACCCCCCACCCTATTATTTCAGGGGGGTCAGAAGAAAATAAACTTTAATTCATAACTTTGGAAGTAAATGAGATACAAACTTAATTTTTTCACCATAATTTATAGAATAACATCAGTAATGCAGAAAAAAATATATCAAACGAAAATAAGCTAATTTGCATAATTTAACCCTTAAACCGCCATAAAAACTATTAAATAACGGAATGATAATAAACAACTTTTACTGTAATTGCCTTCATATGAAGTTATAACTTATGAAATAATTCCTAAAAATGCATCTATATACTGTATGTATATTAGATGTGCAAAATATTAAAAGTGTATCTTACATAACGACTGTGAAAAATATTTCTCCCCTTACCCTAAAATTGAAGGGAGGGGGTCAAAAGAAAATAAACTTTATTCATAACTTTGGAAGTATATAAGATACAAACTTAATTTTTTCACCAAAATTTACAAAATAATATTCAGTAATGGAGAAAAAAATATTTTGAACAAAAATAAGCTAATTTGCATAATTTAACCCTTAAACCGCCATAAAAACTATTAAATGACAAAATGATAATATACGACATTTACTGTAATTACCTTCATATGAAGTTATAACTGATGAAATAATTCCTAAAAATGCACCTATATATGTATAATAGATATGAAAAATATTAAAAGTGCATCTTATATATAGATTGTGAAAACATTTCTCCCCCTACCCAGATATTTCAGGGGGGTCAATTGAAAATGGACTTTAATTTATAACTTTGGAAGTATATGAGGTATAAACCTATTTGTTCACCAAAATTTATGTAATAACATCAGTAACTAAGAAAAAACATTTTTGATATGCAAATAAGCTGATTTGCATAATTTAACCCTTATACAGTCATAAAAACCGTTAAATGACAAAACAATAAAATACGACATTTATTTTAATCGTCCTCTCATGAAGTTATAACTTATGAAATAATTCATATAGTTGCATTTATATATGTATAATAGATGTGCAAAATATTAAAAGTGTATCTTACATAACGACTGTGAAAAAAATTCTCCCCCTATCCAGATATTTGAGGGGGGGTCAAAATGAAAATGGACTTTAATTCATAACTTTGGAAGTACATGAGGTACAAACTTAATTTTTCACCAATATTTATGTTATATCATCAGTAATTCAGAAAAAATATTTTTTGATATGCAAATAAGCTAATTTGCATAATTTAACCCTTTTAAAGTAATAAAAACCGTTAAATGACGAAGTGATAAAATATGGCATTTACTTTAATTGACTTCTTATGAAGTTATAACTTCAAGAAAAAATTTACAACAAATATGCACAATATAAAGAGGTTATTTTATATAATGAGTGTGAAAAGAATCTTACACCCTACCTTAATAATTTTGAGGGCTCGGGGGGGGGGGGGTTAAAGAAAATAATAGACTCATGACTTTGAAATAATTTAAGAAAGAGCTTATATTTCTTCGCTGAAAATTGAGAAATCACATCAATAATGAAACGAATATTACATGGGGACAATACTATATTTCAACTAATTTGCATAATTTAAGCTTCAAACAGTCATGAGAATCATTATAAGGCAAAGTGGTTCTATACTGAAATTGACTTCACATGAAGTAAGGACTTTGACAATATATCCTTTCTTAATACTAGCATTTAAATGGAAAAATGATATCAACAATTATGAAGCTATTTTTCCCAACTATTTCAATGCCCTTCCTAAAGCAAAAATGAAAATTATGGCAAAAAACAATAGCCTTTAGTGGTTACTCCATATGGAACAATCTCCCAGAAGAAATAAAAAGTCAAATTCCATTTCTTTTCTTAAATCAAAACTGAAGAAGCATATTCTCTTAGCTTATTAATCATAAGTTGACTATATCATTTCTTGTTTCTTCAGTAAGAAGGGTAGGCTCTCAGGGGAGGTACATGGGCCAACCTGGGGGCTGCTCCAAACTACTTAAGATCTAAAATAATAATTCTGACCATACCAACCTTGGGGAAGGTAAAATAATAACTAATATTTTATAAGAATCACACTTTTAACGATTATTTGCGTCAATGCAGTAGCCTGGTATCTTTAAATAATAATTAATGAAGCTACACATTCATAAAATTTCCCCATGGCATATGGCACCTTCTTGGCTTCAAATGAAATGAGCATCATGGATCCCCCATACCTTTATTTATTATAATCTAACTTTGTGATTACATTCCGGTTTGATTTGTTGACAACATAATGATATACTTCATGATTTAACTACTATATGTACGGGTATTTAAGCATCACCTGTGGTGCCACCTATTATTAATAATATGTGTATACATAATGATTAAATGTATGAATAAATTGAGTTTAATTGAACTTGCAATGTTTCAGAATAACCCTTAAAAAGGTAACCATAACAATTCTAAAGTTTATTGAACCATATTCAGAGTCACTGTGGGGACTGGTGTCATATTCTAGGTTGTAGGTACCTGATGCAGTGAAATTGTCATCATATATATTTGGGTTAATCCACTTATTCCCATCCACACTCACTTTCCTTTGAGCCGCATGAACATGCAGCAAAACATTCTGTACCTGCAGTGGCACATGAGCAAGTGGTTTAACATATTGCTTTGTCCTTGTATCGTTTGCATGTGCAAAATGACTTTGGGATTTTTGTTATATCGAGTTTCGGTTTTTGGTCATTTTAATGGTCTCAAGAGTAATATGAACCACTTGACATCCAAATCCATTCCCTGGCTCTGGAATCTCAAAAAGTGGTTTGTCAGCATTCATTGAAATGTATAATTGTTATAAACCAAAAATGCATCCATAGTTAGTGGTAATGCTCTAATATCATTTTGGATGCTGCAAACAAGTGTAATACATCCAATGATAGTTTGTTTTTATATTGAAATATAAACAAAAATAACGCAACTCCCCTAGACCAGAGATCGTGCCCATGTGGACAGTCAATGGAGACAGAAACTCACTTTAAAGTAGAATGTCATATGTTTGAAAATGAACGATTAAGTCTGTTTGCCTAAATGACTGATATCCATAGTGACTTTTACATGTATACAAGTCTAGGAAAATATTGTATAATAATGAATGAAAAAAACTGTTCAAAGGACATTTGGAAAATGTATGATAAATATGTGAGTCAAAAGGCGTGAAATAGTTACATGCGATGGTCTCTAATAGGTCGGCATCAACCAGGAATTGTTTTAATTCATGTATGTATCTTAATGTAACATCTTTAGTGTGTTAGACTTTAAATAATAAATTTACCACTACTACTAGTATAATATTGTTTCCATGTAATATTTGTTTCATTCTTGATGTGATTTCTCAATATTATGGCGAAGAAATACATGTATAAGCTCTTTCTTATACGATTTCAAAGTTATGAATCAAAGTTAATTATTTTCTTTTAACTTCCCCCAACCCTAAAATATTAGGGTAGGGTGTGAGATTTTTTCACACTCATTATATACAATACCCTTTTTATATTGTGCATACCCATTGTAAATGTATTTCTAGGAATTATTTCACAAGTTATAACTTCATATAGAAGTCAATTAAAAGTCGTATTTCATCACTTTGTCATTTAACGTTTTTTATGACTGTATAAGGGTTAAATTATGCAAATTAGCTTATTTTCATATCAAGATATTTCTTCCGAATTACTGACGTTATAACATAAATTTTGGTGAAAGAATTAAGTTTGTACCTCATATACTTCCAAAGTTATGAATTAAAGTCCATTTCCATTTGACCCCCCTCAAATATCTGGGTAGGGGGACAATTTTTTTTCAGCGTCGTTATGTAAGATACACTTTTAATATTTTGCACATCTGTTATACATATATCGTATAGATGCATTTTTAGGAATTACTTTATTTGTTAAAACTTCATGAGAGGTCAATTAGAGTAAATGTCGTATTTTATCGCATCGTCATTTAACAGTTTTTATGACTGTATAAGGGTTAAATTATGCAAATTAGCTTATTTGCGTATCAAAAATATTTTTTCTGAATTACTGATGTTATTACATAAACATTGGTGAAAAAATTAAGTTTGTACCTCATATACTTTTAAAATTATGAATTAAAGTCCATCTTTATTTGACCCCCTCCCCTCAAAAATCTGGATAGGGGGAGAATTTTTTTCACAGTCTTTATGTAAGATACACTTCTAATATTTTGCACATTTATTATACATATATAGATGCATTTTTAGGAATTATTTCATAAGTTATAACTTCATATGAAGGCAACAACAGTAAATGTGATATAACATCATTTCGTCATTTACTAGTTTTTATGGCAGTTTAAGGGTTAAATTATGCAAATTAGCTTTTTTTCATTCAAAATATTTTTTTTCTTCATTACTGATGTTATTTCATAAATTTTGGTGAAAAAATTAAGTTTGTATCTCATATACTTCCAAAGTTATGAATTAAAGTCTATTTTCTTCTGAGCCCCCTAAAATTATAGGGCGGGGGGTATAAAGATGAAGATATCTTATTTTCGCAAGTCTCAAACTCTAGATATCACCCCACATCATAAAAGTAACTTATTTTCCAACAAGAACTGAAAATATCTCGCGTAATACTTTCCAATATCCATTTTCACTTTCTAGCTGTTTCTCAGAACTTGGGTCCCTGAGTAAACACTCATCAATATCGATGTATGACGGCGACAATCTTCGCCAGATGGCGCTATTCTTTCAAAATGGCTTCCAAGTCTAAAATAAGTCATGTTTAGAGAAAAATGATTATAGATGCTATATTCATTTGATGTATGAGCACAAACGTGTGCATATTATAAACAGTACAAGTCCTTACAACTGGAGTGCTCTGGATATCCATAATTATGTCCAAGATGGCAGATATAGTGCCTTTGGCCGAACTTGGAAATCGGACAAATTTGGAAAATTTTCTTCAAGGTGATCGTTTAGAAAAGCGATTTCTGCAGCTGTTTGTGCCTAAGGATACACCTAAGTAAGTGGACAATAATAAACCTCTTTTATTATAATCTTGTAGACAGAAAAACTCTCAGAATTTTACAGTATTCTGGAATTATGAGACTCTTGTGGTCATAGGCAGCTTACCTTGTGGTTGTTTGTGGTTTGTCGGCACAGTCTGCACTATCAGTGATCTATACACAATCTAAAGTGGTCGGTAGGATACCATAAAGAGAGAGGGGCATTCTCGGCCATGGGGCATTCCCGGACAAACCCTTGGTATCAGGTGAAAATCTGAGGCATTGTTAGACTTTTTACAATATATAGCACCACAGCGATAATATGATGTGTCTAATACAAAGTTTCAAGAAACCATATAAAACAAATAATTACTAAAGATCGTCCAACAATGCCTCGTGTCCGAGAATACAATACAGAGAAGTCCGAAAACTAAATGTCTAAATATTTTCCAGAAGTGTTTATATCCCTTCAAACTGTGACATTTATGCTAATAACTCAACATGTATATGATCCTTACAGTGCTGATATATAGAAAATAATAAAGGGTGCCTTTTCAAACTAAACAGAGTGCTCCTACCAAAATGAGTTTGCCTACATACCCCTGAGACTCTTATCTGATAGATAGAATGCACAAATAAAACAAAAGTTTTGCTATTATATGTAAAAAATTCTCTTGAAATTTTGAAGTGATTTTACCTGTTAATTCTGTCAGTGGTCCGCCATTTTTGCGGTAGTTACACTGAAACGCAAACTCCATGAAATGAAACAAAATCACTAGAAAAAAACATGGATGTGCAGCAAAGTTTTAACCAATCAGATTATTTGATTATTTTGCGCACATGAATTATTTGCTTCTAAGCACTTACAAGCTTACCACAATAAACAAACCTGGCAGAGACTACCCTTGGCCTACTTCATTTTGGCAAAATTTCAGCTCAAACACATTTTCTGAAAAATTCAACAGATTCTGTTCAGTGACCTTTCCTACCTCCTACTTTTAGCTATTTTTCAGTCATATTTTCAAAGGGCTGAAAAGGTTATTTTATCATGTTTAGGGTCATTCTGACCATGAACATTGTGATCCTGGACCTGTAAATCAGATATATGGATTGGAACTAGTTGAATTGACTGTAGGTCAGAACAGAACTCTGTTATCTTTGTAAAAAAAATGTCTAAAAATGCATAATTTTTTGTCACTTCCTGTTTCATCATTTCCTGTTAAGTATCATGGCACCTTAAGGCCCCCAAAAGTGGGCCTTTATGGTCATTACTGGGCCTTTTAAAGCCTCATTTTTCAAACTGGGTACAAATTTTGAAGAAAATGGGCCTCAAAATTTCAAAATTTGTACCCAGTTTGGGTTTTAGGGGCCTAAAAAATTTTTCCGAAAGTTTTTTTCTCAGACCTGAAATTTGGTTCCCAGATCCGCCCCTGTGTGGGGTTGTACTAAATACCACCTAGGTGTCCCCATTGAAATGCCTTACTGGCATATTTTACTACTTGATTTCAAGCTAACATTTTTCCAAGTGTTAAAGCTGGACTGCGCTCCGAAACGCAATCTTGGGTTGGTTTCGGGGGTGAACTTTATCATTTTGAGCCTAATGAAAGATTATAGAATGATGAACAAATGGGGCAAATCTTGTGTAGAAATACTTACGATAAATGTGTCATTTCAAAGATTATTCATTGAATTGCTTCGATCGGCGCCGACGATATGATTTTTGAAAAGTTTCTAAATGAAGAACGTGACGTCACTTCCGAATCATAGCATTCAAAATAAGTAGCGTTTAATTACTTCCAACATTCATTAGAAGACGGTGGTCTAGGGGCGCAATTCTCGCTTAGCACGCGGGAGGCCCGGGTTCGAATCCCGTAAATGCCTTTTTATTTTTTTTAACTAAATGATTGTTCTTTGATATAACGCAGAAAAAAACAATTTTTATTTACATAAACTTTATATTAGAGCTTAAAAATGTAAAAACAATATATGTCAACATATTGCGTTTTGGAGCGATGTCCAGCTTTAATATATTACATAATAACGTACATGGAACTTGTGTAAATATTTCTGTTTGTTTAAGATATATATATTTTTTTTAATTGTCTTGAAAATTTTGATCGATGTCGAAAAAGTCATTTGTTAGAATAATATTTCATTATTTGCTCACTATAAAATGCTACAAATTCCCTATTTTAGCAACTAAAGTAAGAATATATATTTCAAATATAAATGCACACTTTAGCATAAACGGTGTTTTATTACTACAAATAAGTGACCATACATATGAGCAAAATTCCAAGTGCCCATTTTTCTAACAATAAAACTTTTTACATTTTATTTTCGAATCTTCTTTGCAATATTCTCGACTACAAATTATTATTTCAAGTCTATTATATGTCAAGTTAATATGTGACAAAGGAAATACTATATATAAAATATGTATGTGATTTAAAATGGAATTATAAATCCAGGTGCCCAAGGGGGACACCTAGGTGGTATTTAGTAACACTTCTCCTGCAGGAAAAACAGGAAATTTTGTGCACAAAATTATCAATTTTAGGAAGCTTCACTTCCCAAAAAATAAACATTATAACAATTCAACAATTCAAACAATAACAGTAAGGTCCAATTAAATGAGCATAAAAGGTAACACAGCATGTTGTCAAATGGAAATAAAGCTAGGTGAAGTAACAAATATGCAAATTAATTTACTTACTTCTTTTGTAAACAAATATTTTTCAATCCCAGATTTTAACATATATGAGCAATAGTCTGAATATTTTCATTCCAAAGGAGCAGGGAAAGTATCGTAACAGACTTTTGACAGGTGATAATTTTTTGTGAGTAGTTTCTGGCTGTAAAAAGTAAATGCTTGTGAAAGGGGAATCTATGATCTTCAAGAAAAGTTCAAAGAATAGTTTCCAGATCAATTGGATTATCTTATAATCCATGTTTAATCCACCCATCAACAAGCTTTTCCAAAATACATTCGTCATATTCACCATCGTCCCTCATTTTTTTGGGCTCACATAGTGAGCCTATGGGATCGATCAGGCGTCCGTCCGTCCGTTGGTCCATCCGTTCGTCCGTCAAAATTGGCTGCACAAATTAAAACTGCTATTCATATTGAGTCATATCCACATTCATTTTATGCATATCCATAATGCCTATTTGACCTATCATCGCCATTTCCCAAGTTCGCCCAGTTTCGGAGAAATTGCGGATTTTGACGTCAAAAAGTCAACTTTTCTGTATATACTTTGTTGAAGTAGAACTTTCAAATAACTTTTAGTAGTTGCTGTATATGCAACTTATGTCCTCTGAAGGTTTCAAAGCTCTGGGAATTACAGTTTTTGGTGTTTACTCTATAAAATTTGACAAAAAGTAGGACTTGTCATTTTCAGGAAACTTTCTCATGTCAATGGCAGGTTTTGTGATTGACAAGTTTCTCAAAGTTTGCCTTATACTTGATCATTTCTTGCAATGAATTATATCATTACTAGATTTAAGCATTCCCTACATAGTACATATTGCTCAATATATGTCAGCATCAAATTTTTACAGTTTTTGAGATATTTGACGTCAAAAAACAGTAAAAATAAATTATTTTTCAACTAGCTTGCTTCAATTTGACCAATTTTTTTTTGAAATCATCTACAAGTTGCCAGGAGTTCAAATCTGACATTAGTTTTAGGATTTGACCTTCAGTGACCTTCAAAAGGTAAGAAAAAGTTGATTTTTCAAATTGATTTTTGGATGTAAATTTTGGTCAGCTTAATCACAAAAGACCTTACTGAGCTCTGAATAAGTAAAATTTTCAAGGTCAAAGGTCATCAAACTAGGTCACACAACTTTGCTATCTAAGTTTCTCAAAGTTCAAGACTACAAATCCAAATCAATATTTTTGTTTGAAAGTCAAGATATACGTTCCTCTGAAGGTTCGAAACTGTGTGAGCACAGGACCATGGGTCCTTCATTACAATTTTTCATGCTAAGTTACATTGTACTTGAACACATGTTTCATCACATAAAATATTTTTGAGTTTTTTTAGAAAAAATTAACCTCTTAAAATGCATGTTTACAAAAATAATTTAGAAGCGATGTAAAAGATGGGAATATTTTTCAATGATATCATACATAAGTAGGTGAATTACTCATGTGTGTTGTGTTTTAATCCTGCATTCACTGACTGTGTTAGCCTATTGAAAAACCATAGAGATTAATAATACAAACAGTAATACTATGAATACTTCTACTTCAAGCTCAAATAGAGCTTTCAGGGTCCTGTGTTGAAATACTAGATCACCTTGTGTGCATGGATTTTTGATATGTAAGGAATCAAGAGAAACCATTAGTGCAAGGAATTAAGGTGCTATGGAAGTTAACAGGAAATGACAAAATAGGAAGTGACAAATTTTTTTGCATTTTTATACATTTTTTGAACAAAGATAACAGAGTTCTGGTTTGACCTCCAGTCAATTTAACTATTTCCACGTATCATTTACATGACCAGTATCACAATGTGCAAAAATAATGAAATAACCTTTTTAGCCCTTTGAAAGTGTGACTGAGAAAAAGCTAAAAGTAGGAGCTACATAGGGAAGGTCACTGAACAGAATCTTTTGAATTTTTCAGAAAATGTGCCCAATATATTGCTCTAACTGTTACAATCTTTGAAATTTTTAAAAATTGTCTTAAAGTGCCCGATAAACTATAAAATGCGCATGCGTCTAGGTGTTGATAAACTATAAATAGCGAAAATCCAGGGTTTGTCACCACAAGGTAAGCCAGGGCATGTTGAGAGAACAGCTAGAGTTGATATTGAATTTACATGTAGCCAGATAAGTTTCCTTATTCCATAGTTAGCATGATATTCATAGGATAACATGTGAAAATAAAAACGGTATTTTTGTAATCAGTGGTAAAATATGATATTTTTGACAAATTTTCACTTAACCATAGCATACGGTTTTTTAGCCATGACATACGACGTCGTATGCGATGGTTTATGGATTA